TCCCCCCCCCCCCCCAAAAAAAAATAGGATGTTAATAATGAACTTTCTTAAATCCACAGCTATCCGCCAAGAAATCCGTGACATCGAACAAGGCATAATGGACAAGACAAACAACCCATTAAAGGTAGCTTAAAAATCAACCGAAAGTGTCATTACTATGAGAAAGGCAGCTGAGTAAGGCGCCACGATAGTATGGTGACCGGATTTTAACGTTCAACTTGTGTTATTGTCACGGGCAACTGGCTCCATTTCCAGTGGCAACTTGTCGGCCTTTGACGTCATTGGCAGCAAAGCGCGCGAAATTGTAGGCGACGATATTGTTACCTTTGGAAACAAGGAAAGTTGCCCGTGGCAACACCGTAATTTTAAGTCCAAATCGTCGTCTCCAAAGCTCCGACGCGCCTTGCCCAACTGATAATCGTAGTAAACCAACTAATATATTTTGTATTCTCTATTTATTATTTTACATATGAAATCTGAGCTTTAACGAACGAGTGACTGGGTTCAGCAATCCCTCAAGCGGGTACTGCCTACTGCTACCCTGCCTTTAAGGAAGCCTTCATGTGATCTTGTCTTGATTTATCCACAGAATGCGCCACACACTCAGGATGTAGTGACGTCAGATACGTGGGACAGACCGTACAGTCGAGAAGTTGCAGCCTTCCCTGCTGTGAGTACAAAACTCGTATTTCTTTGAGCTTTGAACCCCTGGTAGTAGACGGTGGGGTGTAAAGGGGAGTGGGATGGGGGAAGCAAAGCACCCCAGACCTCCCTGTGTAACAACAGATCCGTGTAACCCATCAAGGAGACTGTCATATAGTTTTTCTTTGAAAATGAGGTCCCGTCCACCTCTGTCCACAGTTATGCGTTTTATTTTGAAAACGCAAACTTTCTGATGCGTTTTTCGCCTATCGTCCATCAAAAACGCACACATTTGAAAACGCTGTCCAGAATGGAGACACCTGAAATCGGAGACCTGCCGTATTCGCATAGACAGCGGAAACCAACTTCGATCGCAGGCTCTCTCTTCTTTGCCTCCCTTGTCAAAGGGGGAAGAGCATGGGATCGAGGTTGAGCGAGTTGCTGACGTCATGTACTCGTGCGCACGTGTAAATGACAGTTGTGTTTCCTCATAGAACATCAGCGTTTTCCAGCGTTTTGGTGTGGACGGGAAAACTGCGAAAACGTTAGTGTGAACGGGGAAAGGCTTCATCGATAAAGCATCGTTTCGAAAACGCGTCAGTGTGAACGGGCCTAAGCCTGAAGTTATCTTTTAGTTAGGAAATAGTAGTTTATTGAGCTACTTTTTTGTTTTGTTTCGTCAGCCGTGGTTGAAGGGTACTGCAAAATTCTGGCCGACATGTTCGCGAGTGGACGACAAATACGGCGATCAACAGCTGGTCTGCACATGTCCGCCACTTGAGAGCTATGATTACGAGAAAACCAAGTCTTTTGCTTAAAAGAAAATTTGACAACAACATGAAAGAGATGCTAGTTTACTTCAATGTGTGTAGACCTATTTGGGTAGAGAAGTTTACTTGACGAATAGCATCTTTCCACAAATGAAAGCTGCTTGAATTTTGTGGGAACCAAGCAATGACCTGAAGCGGTCAAGTAGAACAAGATTCTTCAACATCGAGATAAAGAATCGAAAGAGCATTTTTCTTCAAACGGGACGTTTTAGGAGGCAACAATTTATCACACTAGGAAATGCAAATAGAATTATTTAAATATTTTATTGAACACCATGTACGGAATCAATTTTCGGTTTGCCTTCTCTTCGTCACATTCACCGCAATGATACGCTGAACGTAGTGTAAAATATTTCGAAGGCATGTTCGTCTTGCATACATAGAAATGGTAGAAAAAGAAGAATCGCTACACACACTGGAAAACTTAGGAGGTATAACGATGCAGAAATTATGATTTCCAACGTTTTGATTATACTTAAACATGTCTAAACGAGTTTCTTTTATCCACAATGAAACTTGGCAGCATTCCCCAAATCTCCAAGGCCATGTAAACTTGTATGAATGATAAAACAATGAAAGATTTCTTGGGTGAAACAAATTACTCACGCGCAAAAGCAATAATATGATTTTCATTTGCTTATAATAATATAACTTTAATTTGCTTGTAATTGTGTATTCTAAGTGGACGCTAATACTGTCGAATGTAATAAGACAATGAAATGAAAATAAAATACCATTCGTGCATTGTATCGTTGGATTGGTCCTGTTTTGTTTTGTTTTTTGTTGTTTGTATTTTTTCAAGCACCGGCCGTTCAACAAGATTGACTTTACCTCTTTGTGTGTAAATCGCACAGTTGGATCGAATTTTTCAGCCGTTTAGGTTTGTTATCTTTACTTTTAAAGAAAGAAGTGAACTTCGTCGTATTTCCTTCTTTTAAGACGTCGTTTAATTTCAAAATCTACAGTCCCAGACAAAAACAGTTGGGACACGAAGCAAGTTCTCCCTTCCTCCCACTTACAACGTTGATCAGGTGATTTTTTCCCCTTTTTGTTGCAAAAAAAAAAAAAAAACCCTGGACATTTTCCAACATTGAGTAGGGGGAATGGAGGGTACGCGATGAAGCTCAAGTGTCCCAACTACTTTTGTCCGAGTTTGTAGATGGGAAGTAAGATGGTAGTTGCGATCAAGGGTAGCCTGGTTGACCAATCAAGTTAGTGATTTCATGTCCATGTAATAACAAACATCAATCAAACGGCATGAGTCTCCATAGCTCATCATCATCATTATCATCATCATCATCATCGTCATCGCCATCGTCATCATCACCATCACAAACTTTGTTTACCCTCGAATTTACAGAGTAGCATTTCTGCTAATTTCTTCGAGCTACCTAATGCTAGAAATTAGAAATAATGAAAGAAAAACTATAACAAAGTAGAGAAACTGAATTTATGCAATATTACAGACAAAATAATTTGTGGAAGGTGTTAAAATCTGTAACAGTGCGATATTGATTTGGAAGTGCGTTCCATGATTTGGCCGCCTAGTAAACAAAAATGAGGCCATAAGTAGTTGTGCATATTTCAGTGAATATTTCGTAAGTGGTTGTACATATTTAACCATAACTCACTGCTTAAAGCGTCCGCGTGTTATTTAGAAAGTTATTGGTTGGAATCCAGTTGGGACTCAATTTTTTTTCATCATTCAAACAGCAAGGCCGTTTCGATTCAGAAAATTTATCTTCACAAATCGTACTCTGCAACTCAAGTGTAACTGACTAACCACCATTAAAAACGTAACTTGAGCTACAATGGGCGACAAAAGTGTTGAGACACTTGGCAGTAAAATTCAATTTTCGAGCGTCTTGGAAACATATTCCCCCCTTCCCCCCCAAACAATGTTGATTTTTCTATTTCT